ACTCCTAAAAACATTTCTCAGGGCGATACATTGTTGTCGCATGCAAAGGGAAAGAAAACGTTCAAACTATTTTGTCAAATCTACAAAGTAAACAAAGCAGGATTTATCAAAAACTGTAGGAATGTGCTGAACTGACCCTCCTGTCCACTGACATGACTGGCATTCCTCAGGTTTGTTAGGTCTTCTGGTCCGACGCACAGACTCATTCATATTCTGTTGAAGCAAACAAAAAGAAAGATTTTTATTGTTAAATTGAGGAAACGAGTTTCTGTCGGTGAGGGACATATTTGTAAGCTATTTTAACTCGTAAAAGTATTCAGACCACTTGAACTTTTGCACACATTATCATTTAACAAACCACAAACTTTAATTTATTCTCGGTGGGTCTTGTGTGAAAGACAAACACAAAATACCACATACAGTATTTTCCGGACGATAGAGCGAGCCTCACTATAAGCCACACCCACAAAGTTTTTTTTTTTTTAAACTGTAAATGTACATGTACAATGTACAAAGCCACACCAGGCTATAAGCCACTGTTATCTCCGCCGCTCTCGGTTTTCCACAAGGATGCAGCAGAACTTCTTCGTGTTGGTTCCATTTATGAGGAGGTATGAGTTTGAAAACATTTCTCCGACGTGCCTGCTGCTAGCATGTGCTTGTTCTAAATTAAAATTAGTCCTTTCTTCTTTGATTTCCAATTTTGACTTCCTATGATTCACTTCCTGCTAGAGAGCCCCCTGGTGGTTGAAGAAAAATCCACTACGTGGTTCAAAGGGTGGGAATAAAGTTGCGGCTAATAGTCCAAAAAATACGGTAATTGTGAAGTAACAGGAAAAGGATACTTTGTTTTTCAAGTTTTTTGTAAACACACAATATTCTGGAAAGAGAGGCTTGTCTTTTGTCCGGCCGCCTTTAAAACTGATTACCGTGAAGTGAAATATATATATATATATATATATATATATATATATATATATATATATATATATACAGACTGTGTGTTTTATATATGTACTAAAAAAAATCACCCATTTTT